CATGGGTTTCTGCTGTCGCATTCCTTGTGTCAAGCCACTCTTGAACCACAGACAGCGTCAGAAGCGTCTTGCCTGGGCTAAAGAGAAACAGGACTGGACTGCTGGTGAGTGGTCCAAAGTCATGTTCTCTGATGAAAGTAAATTTTGCATTTCCTTTGGAAATCAAGGTCCCAGAGTCTGGAGGAAAAGAAGAGAGGCACTTCATCCACGTTGCTTGAAGTCCAGTGTAAAGTTTCCACAGTCAGTGATGGTTTGGGGTGCCATGTCATCTGCTGGTGTTGGTCCATTGTGTTTTCTGAGGTCCAGGGTCAACGCAGCCACATACCAGGAAGTTTTAGAGCACTTCATGCTTCCTGCAGCTGACCAACTTTTTGGAGATGCAGATTTCATTTTCCAACAGGACTTGGCACCTGCACACAGTGCCAAAGCTACCAGTACCTGGTTGAAGGACCATGGTATCCCTGTTCTTAATTGGCCAGCAAACTCTCCTGACCTTAACCCCATAGAAAATCTATGGGGTATTGTGAAGAAGAAGATGCAATACACCAGACCCAACAATTCAGAAGAGCTAAAAGCCACTATTAGAGCAACCTGGGCTATCATAACACCTGAGCAGTGCCACAGACTGATCGACTCCATGCCACGCCGCATTGCTGCAGTAATACAGGCCAAAGGAGGCCCAACTAAATACTGAGTGCTGTACATGCTCATACTTTTCATGTTCATACTTTTCAGTTGGCCAACATTTCTATAAATCCTTTGTTTTTATTGGTCTTCAGTAATATTCTAATTTTCTGATATGATGAATTTGAGATTTTCATTTGTTGTCATTTGTAATCATCAAAATTAAACAAAATAAACATCTGAAATATATGAGTTTGTATGTAATGTATGAATATAATATACAAGTTTCACTTTTTAAATGGAATTACTGAAATCAATCTACTTTTTCATGATATTCTAATTTTATGACCAGCACCTGTAAATGGTCGTGTCTCCAAAATAACAGGAGGGTTAGAGCGCTTGCTGCAACTGGTACAACAGAGATGGTTAACATTAGGCAAATTCCAGAAGAAAAAACAAAAACTCACAATCCAAATGGCTGCATCAAACTGCAGCACATCTACAGTCAAGCATGAAACAAATCACAAGCGAATCTCAACAGAATAAGTCTTTTCCATGTTCTTATGGTACTAAACATTGTTCATAATACAGGCAACTCTAGAAAGAGCAACATCAAAAATACTCAGACTCTCAGTGACTATTAGGCAGAACACAGGAGGATGTCGCCGAGGAATGACAACCAACTGAACCCAAAACTGGTCAAGTAACTCCCATAGCGTTATAGCTGAAACAAAGATATAGAGTACCTTTTAGGTGGCCACCATTTGAAACAATGGCTTCCTGAGAGATGGAGCTTCCTTGAATTGTACACCATTTCCACTTTGTGACAGAAAACACAAAACTTTGTAAGTTTATTTTTCCACTTAACATTACGCCTATTACTTTTATTCTTTTTTTGCAGAGCCCTCCTAGAAGTCAAAGTTAGGGTGCTGTTACAGTTTCCTGTCTTTCAGTGCTTCCAAAAATGTCATATTTTAATCGTTCAAAAAGAGAGATTAATATATCTAAAAACTTAGTTGCTTATAAAATGCTGCTTAGTTTTTGGGCATGCGTGTACTGGAAAAAGAGATTACACTCTCAGTTCTCTACTGTATCTGGTAGGCGCTGATTACATTTCCTGATAACAGTCTTGTTCTATTTATTTTTCTCCACACCATTTGCTCATGCTCATGTAGGGATTAAAGGTTAATGCTTTTAATGCTGCCCAAGAGTGCCCCCAAGTGGTCAAGTAATGAAAGAGTTGATTAAAATATGAGGTTAAGCCGACACCACACCAGTTGCATACGACTTTTCAATCCCTGATCCGATTTTTATCCATGTCACACTGACTCTGCAGAGTTCTTTTACACTTCTGCCTCTGTACCATACACATTAAAACAACTAAAACAAACAAAAAACAACCGGCTAAGCTATAGAGCAAATCGCCTATCATGGGTATTCCTTTTTATATTTCATTGATTGTTTTTTTTCATGAGTCGGTCCAACTTGCTATATAAGCAGCATAAATTGCCCGTTCTCCAGTGCATTAAGCTAATTTTATTTTTGCATTTTGAGTATCTCTTTTCCTGTCAGATCCATGAAATTACAGCTGAACTGCTGAATAGTCAGACAAAGATCTCAGTCAAAGCTACACAAGCCCTCTCACAATATTGTGTGGGGTGCGATCATTCCCATGATTTTCAATGAGCACTAAACGCCATGACGTCGTCTGATACGATATATACCGTCGTACTGGAAAAAAAAAAATCTGATTCAGTGTGCTCAGACGTTTAGCGTTAATGGGATATTGTTTAAATGCATTTGGGCATACAAAGCTCAGTGAATCTTCATCAGCACAGACAGAATGTCTGCGTTGTGTCACAGTTTAGTAGTTATTTCTATACTGAGGTTTATTTCAAAAATAAATGGCAGATAAACCAGGATATTAAACAGCATGCTCTTAAAAATACGTTGCAGTGGAAGACTAAATTACAAAGAATACCACAGAGGTTTATACTAATTGTTGATGGCCAGTATCCTCTTGGCCCAACTGCATCACTAGCATTTCATCACCCTCTACAGAACTCCACTAATAAACTAGTATTTCAGTCATGTGTTTTAAATCAGAGATGTCAAAAAGATTGCGGGACAGCAGCCTTCAGTATATATTGTTCAGAGAGGCGGAAGTGAAACCTCACTTTCCTCGGGCAGCATAAATTCCCATGCCAATGAAGACATAAGTTATGGTGCGATGGGTTCCTTAGTTGTGAGCATGATTGAAATCAAATCAAATTTGTATTCTTTCGAACTGACCACAGGGGGAAAGGGATGATTAACCCTTTAACACCAAATGATATTTGATATATGATTTTTTGAGGCCGCTACAACATCAGTGTTGAATTTTTTGTTTTTGAAAAACGTAACTTCATACATCAGTCACCATTAGGGCTGAAAAAATTAATCAGATTGATGATGATTAATCAATTATTGAAATAATCAACTAATTTATTAATTGAATACTCATTAAATGGAATATAGAGACTGTAAAACATGCCATTAGGTGACAGAGCAACCCATTTAGAGCAGAAATTATATAAAAATTGTAAAAAAAAAAAAAAACAAAAAAAAACATATGAACCTTTTGCATTTAAGATAAAAAAAAACAAAAAAAAAAACGTTTTCATCTGTCAATATGCTCTATCCAGAACTCCTTGAATGGAATTGTTTCAGGTTCAACTGGTTAATTTCGTAAAAAAAAAATCTTCTTTAAGTAACCTTTGGCTATCCAATTATTAATTGACAAAAAAAATTATCGACAGATCAATCAATTTGCTAAATAATTGTTAGTTGCAGCCTTAGACACCATACAGATGATGTAGTGAACAGAAACCTACAGTTAAATGCATGGAAAAGCCTAACATAGTACAAATGATAGAAATAATGGATGTTGTTCGAAATGGATGTTTTTGCTTACATTTGTTCAGTGTTCAACGGCAACTCTAGTTTGAAATTTTCTGACAATTATTTGCAACTCATAAACGTAGGCGTTAGTCATCAAGGGGGAGGTCGCAGGTTCCGCCTTGATAACCTTTGCGGCACACTTTTCCCCTCTCTCTAATCTCTTTTTTTTTTCTGTTTGCAGAGTATCAACTATAAAAAATAAAGGTCCTTTGTACACAGAAAGAAAAAACTCAAAAAAGAAAAAAAAAGAAAGTCTATTTTGGTCTGACGTTTACTGTTGATCTGAAAACCGTGAGCTTAACTTAAATAACAAATGAGAAGAAAATTGACTGGCCCTACTTTTGATAAAAGTTATTACAGAACACTGGACAAATTTGGTTTTCTTACAATGGCCAAAGAGATATTTAGGAACAAAACAAGAAATCACATCGTTTGTGAAAATGTTATCCCTTTAACAAAGATATCACTTAAAACCAAAAAAGTAGGTGGATAAAACAGCTGCAGAAGATTCAGAAAGCTGCTGCTCACATCTTCACTAAAACTAAGATAGTGGTGCAAATCAGCTCGGCCTTCAGTCCTTCCTCTGGCTCCATATATCTCAGAACAGAGCACCCACACCTCTCAGGTCCTCTGGCTGAAATCTTCAGAGCCAAACATGGAGCAGCTTGTAGTTCTTATTCTCCACTAAACTGGATAAACTGCTAGAAAACTGTAAGAGTGCTGAAGCCCTCAATTGCTTTAAATTGAGATTAAAAACATAATGGCTTTTGACTGTGCTACCTAACATTAGCAGTTTAGGTTTGTAATCCAACTTTTGTTCGTTTTATTATCAATCATTATCCCTTTTTTTTTTAACCCTATCTAGCAATATAATTTTCCCTGTGTTTTAATATATACAGCACTTTGAACTGCCTGGCTACTGAAATATGCAAAATCAATTAAAAGGCCTTCCCTTGCGTTTAGTATCTATAGATTTACTGCTATCGATTGAACTGTGGGGTTTCTGATTCTACATGAGGCAACTGAGAAAAAAGATTATTGAAAAAAAAAAACTAATTTATGCAGAGCAGGATTAGATACCTGAGCTGTTAAGGAACACTTTGCTTTCAGTTTTCACAAGTTTCATACATAATTTGCAATAATTTTATTCATTTTCTTTGTTCAAGACCAAGGATCTTTTTTTTAAACTAACTGAAATACAAATAAGAAATAAAACAAAACAAAACAAAAAAAAACACATCAGAATGTGGAGTGCTACAGTAAGGATGGATAAAATGGTGGCAGACAGGTTTGAAAACCTTTCCAAATTAAGTTTTTGTAAACCAAGATGCACCATCAAAACGTGCAACAGAAAAATAATTACATGTGCAATGTGATTCTCATTCAGTGCAACAATATTCAGATCCAAAATATTTTTCTGCATTTTGTTGTCTAAATTCTTTCCACCATATTACTGCTCTGAGGCAGTGGAATGGTAAGGTAAGAGATGACGTGATACAAACAGCATACCGCTTCAGGGGTATGTATATTGTATCATAATAAGGGCAGGGCTTTAAAAAAAGATGCCCCTACCCGTCATTCTAAACCGAAGAAGCTGAGTTTATAGTCACTGTTACAGTAGCTTTCCATATTAAAGGGAAAAGGCACATTAGTATGTTAAAACGATTACAACCATCACAGTCATTGCCTGTTCCCTCTGCTGAGGGGGGCAAACAGGATTGGCTGCCTAAGCCATGACTTTCTTCTTGCACTCCACAGAGCAAAAGAGGCAGTTCTTCACCGCCATGAAGCGCTGACCAATCAGGCACTTGGTGCAACCGGAGCACTTGAAGCACTCTGGCACTGCGTGCCAGTGGTGCTCGCCGTAGGAAACTCTCTGAGCCTCAGGCTCCACCGCCTTCTGGCAAGAAGCACATTCCTGGGGAGAGGAAGGATATCACAACACTCAAACAGCCATACTCACATTTTAATATCTTACATATAAATGAAACATCGCTATGGCGCTGTCACGCCTTGACGATTTAGCCAGCATATGCCGACATATGAAAGATTTGGCAAAAATGCTGGTTATGGGAAAGTTTTGTATAAGTTATAGGCACGCTGGCACTTGTCGACATACAGCAAGTACACCATGTATACCAGTGTATGCTCATACGTTGGCCATAAGTTACAGGTAAGTTATCTGATGGTGGAGTCTAGCTTATCCAAAACCTATGAGTAAATTGCATAACTTATCAAGAACTTATCTCTAAAGAATAAGCGTAGAGAAGTGTTCCAGACTGAATGTGTCTTTAACTTACAGCTAGTGTATAATGGTGTATTGGCAGCATTTGGTATAAAGGAGGGTTAACAGGAGGAACCCGTCAGTAATTCTTCAGACGTTCCACAAGAGATGGAGGATACGGCAAGACTAAGATGGCAATACATACTAGCCGTCTTCCAACATCAGCATGATGTCATCAATTGGACTCTATTCCAGTTGTGTGCTAATAGGGCCAGAACAAGATGAAGAAGAAGTCATCAGCATTGAAGGGTCTGACCATGTATCGGATGCGACGGCAGTTTGGCATGTTTGATCAGCTGATGCTGGAACTCCTTTGAGAAATCATCTTTTTGTGCGTTACGCATACGACATAAGTTCTGGTCTTGTTATGAATACTCTATGTAAACGCCCAAAATAGAAAAAATACATAGAAAGTTCTGCATATGCCAGAGTTTTAAGAGATTCTGGGACGTCAGGGATACGCTGGCTAAATGATCGAGTTGTGACAGCGCCATTAACTGGAACATTTCATCCAAATTTTAAGATATAAAAACTGGTATGGAGGAAGAAGCAGATGTAAAGCTGCTTTATTTTTTTAAACCACCAGCCACTGGTTGGCAGAGGCTACATTTTTCATCTGCTCTGCACCAGCTGAAGCAGAGTGACAAGCAGCGATCTTGTGAGGTTTTCCAGAGCTAAATCATTATAAAAATCGCAATATATCATCTTTGTTACTGTAAGGCCATAGTATCATGATGTGTATAGCCAAATTTTTAGCAAATAACACTCGTTATCAAGCAAACACAAACTCTCTCAGTGCTGATAGTATCACACAAAGATCTGCTGTTTATTTAAATTTTTGCTGTAATTTACAGGTTATAGTGGACCAGAGATAGAACCACACCATTGCATGGAGGATATTTCTTGGCCAATAGCCTAAGTGTTTTTTTTTTTTTTCCTTGGCTGATTTATTAGCGCATTCAGCAGCCATACTTTGAGATAAAGAGAAGCACATGCATGCCTCTCCCTCCATCTGCTTTTTATTCCAAAGTTTTTGTTTGAATTGTTAATAAATTTTTATTTAGTTATTTTTTGTTTAAATTAAGACTTGCTCTCCTTGCATCATCTCATCATATAAATGGAGGAAGAAAAAGCAATATCGGTTGGGCTACTGACATAATAATCGGTATCATCCTGGGAAAAAAAAAATCCGTTATAATCATGGTGAAGAATTTAGCTTTTTCTCTCCACTGGTTTTAAAAGTACACTCATACAACAAGACTTTTTAAGCTAAATCCTTTGAAGAGAAATTTAGAAAAAGTTTGCATAATCCCTTAAATGATCAACTCTTTGATGTTTTACCTAGATGTTTTATAGCAAGTAAAATGTTACCACTCCAATTATTTTAGTCATATGATGCAATACAGAAATCCAAATGTTTTAAAATAAATTGAAAATAAATCAACCAAAATAGTCACCAGAGTTGATATTCTGTTGAATTTAGGTTGTGATCCAGGAACAGATTTGCAGGCAGCAGAAAACAAGGGATCCGTTTTGTCCATTAAACTGCAACATAATTCATCATCTTCCTGTTTTGTTAGTGGGGAAACCTCCGACTGATGAGAACAACACTGATGTAGCTTCATGCAGTCAATTTTTTTTATAGATTCTGTCAATCAACTTTAATTCTACAGGTTACATTAAAGAGAATATTTATTTCATCGCAGGTTTCTGCAGTTATGATGGTTTATTAGCTAAAGCTGCTCAACATTAAATAATTTCAGTCTTTTTTTTATTTTTGAAAGAGTACAAAATTCTTTTGGTCTTCCATTTCAGAATGGCAACTTGTTCCTGAAATAAGGGCAGAGTAGAGCCTCACCGCAGCATAGTTTTTCATGTAGCAGGGTTTACAGATGGGCTTGTCCTTCTCCATCACATACGTCTCTCCAGCCAGGATGCAGTCACAGTCAAAGCAGCAGAAATGTTTCAGATGCCAGTTCTGCCCCTCAGCTTGAGTGTACTCGTTACTAAAGATCAGCTGTGGACACAAACACAAATGAATCAAAATCTGCATTTTATGCCAACAAAGCCTCCGTTCCCAAACTAACTCATTACCTCATCACAGCCAGAGCATCGAGGCTTCTCGCTCTCTCCATAGTGCCGTCCACAGAACATCTTGCCCTTCTTCCAGAAGTAAATCATATCCACCAGTAGTTCACTACAGGTGCAGCACACAAAGCATGCTGGGTGCCATAGTTTGTCGTAGCCGGCCCGCTCAGCATAAACGGCCGGCTCTCCCAACAGCATAGGCTTCTTACAGTGATGGCATGACTTGAAAAGAAAAGGAGGAAAACGTGTTAAAATAGGGATGTAGTAAAGGTAGAAAAGATCTACCACTTCCATTGGATGATGAGTTTAGCCATTATATTCCAAATCAATCCTTGTTTGATGCTAAGCTATCTTCTATAACATTTAGGTGAAACTGATGAGTCTACAACAAATGCAGACATGTTAACTATCATGGTCAAATTTGTTTCTATTCTTTGATATAATAGCATTTTCACTGTTCTCTCAGTGAGAACAGGATTCAGGCAACTCTTGGTGCTAATTCTTGGGTTTGATCTGAAAACTGAAAAGTATCGCCGTGACTATAAATCACTTTATAAAAAGCAACAATGTTTGTTCCACATATCACTATTACGACATAGGGTCATTTCACTATTTTGCCACCTTAGTCAAACTGCACTAAAAATTGGACTGCTCATGATGCTGCAGAGTTTTTTGTCCTAGATGTTCTCCCAATAACCTCCCAGTCCATCAGAGAACAGGCACTTTGACCACAGCTGGCCTCATGGCTCCCCCCAGTGTCCAGTCTGGGAATGTCACCATCACTTGTTTTATTTTTTAAGTACTGATCACAGTGATGCACTGAAAGAGAACTTGGTCCCTATAGAAATCTGATAACTTTATTAATTAGGCCGTCACTCGAACAACATTCATTCTCACAGATGTCAGTTTGTAAGTGTGCTGCTGTCTCCAATGGCTAAAACTCAAACGGTTTACCTCCAAAAACATGACTTCGCTGCACAGAACTGTCTTATTTAGAGAACTTAATAGTTTTGCACAATTACTACTTGACTTTTATTGGGAAATGTATCATATAAAATAGAAGATATACTTTGTTTATTGAAGGAAGAGTGATGAGTCAATTAATAACATCAACAAGAATGTGTAAAGTGGGTGAACCATGTACCATTTTTTCCCCTTCTTCATTCTTTTTATTTAGGCAAAACTGATTGGAAAAAAAAATGGGCTGGGATTGCCAGATAATGAGATTATTGAAATACTTCTAAAATAATTTTTGAAATAGGATTGCTACCCACACTTATGGCAGAGTGTAAAACATGCCATTTGCTGAAAGAATAACATGCCTACAGCAATAATTAGCACAAATCCACGGAAAAATATCAAAAATTTCCATTTTCTTAATATGTGCACAAATGTTCTTATGGCTATTTTTCTGATTTTTCATTTACAATTAATTAGAAATGCATAATAAAGTATTTTTACTACATTTAAAACATTTGTTTAGTTAAATTTTTTTATCTAAATGTATTACATTTATTATTTATTTTACTGAAAGCATCTGTTCTTAAATTCATTGATTAATTCAAATGAACATTGATATATTAATCAAATAACCACAGACCCAGAAAAGAGCAAATTCTAAATAAACATTAGAATTTAAATAAGTGTGGACTTTTTATATTTTGCTTAAAATTAAGTGGGAATAATTCAGATTAAAATCCAACAGGTTTCAGGACCTTTTTGTTAGTTTTCTCTTCAGCAGGAGTTTTATCTTTGAAAATCATGATTTAAATTTGCAAATAAATTTTTTTTTTTATCAAATAAATTGATCATAGGATGGAGGAAAAGTCAAAAGGACTAAACTAAATGTAATCTTTAAGAACATGATTGAGATCTTTTCAGGGGAAAAAACAGACCACCATAAATAAGAAGAGCAATTTAAAGAAAGTTCTTACAAAGTTCTTCTGTGGAAGTCCGACTGACCCAGCAGTAGCAGTACCCATGGCTCCTCCTGCTGGTCTGAGACCAGCAGACTGATCAGTTCCAGAACCTGAGGTGGGTCCTGGTCCAGCTCCCCTTCCAGCAGGTCCAAATCCACCAACACCAGAACCCGCAAGAACTGGGCCAGAATTAGCTCCACCAACTTGACCCCCTGGTAAGATTCCAGCCACTCCAACACCAGCACCAGGCCCAGATGCAGACCCTCCGAGTTTACCGCCGGCGCCTGGTCCCCCTGCCTGGATCTGAGCCATGTCCTCCGGCAGCAGGACGTCTCCGACTCCTAAGGCCTCATCCTTGCATTTACGCACATACTGCTGCATCTGCTTCACCTCAGCAGGGCTCAGCTCGTGGCACTTTGAAGGGTCCTGGTCGTGTTCAGGCAGCTGACGATCCATCTGCTGCCGGCGGTAAGCAGCCCCCTCTGTCCCGGCGACCGGACGCTTCTCAGGTGGGAGCAGCTCGATGTAACGCACAGCCTGATGGAAGGCAGAGATATCAGATATACTTCAGTTCCTGAATAAAGAAGGATGTTTGACCGACAGAGGCGAGGGAAGAGCAGCACAACCAATCAGGAGAGACTAAACAGAAACTGTTCTGCCTTGAATCACACGGAGAACCACAACACGGCTCCTTAAGACAAAACTCCAGACTAAACAAGGACAGGAGAAGTAAAGGCCGACTGGGAACAACCAGAACAGGTTTTACATTTCAGAGACTCACATGTTAAAATATTTTTTTATTATTTCAACTGTAAAAATGTCACCAGCAGGTACATATGGTTGTGACTGCAGTGAGAAAAACGCCAATATTGGTAAAAAAAATATCACCCAACCGATGCAATAGTCTATCTCTAGTACTGATATCCAATCTGACATTTTTGTATTATGACCACCCTTCACACACACACATAATTGCCTCATAAAGCAAATTCCATATCTAAGAAACAGCCTGTTTACAGTGCATAAATATGTGTTTCAACAACCGTTTTCCAGCAAAAGGAAACATAATTCCTTTAGTAACCACTGCGCATCGCTGTAGCGCTGTAAAACTAACCTTACAAAAAAAATTAAAATAACTCCCTCACTAACATCTAAGAGTGATATAGGCTCAAATCTATTACTTGCAGGAGTAACAGATTACTTAATAGATTGCTAAAACTGGTTCTCAGTTCTACTCCGAGAAACGGTCGGTAACATACCAAAAATAAAGTAATTGAGGAGCACAAAGATTTTTGGGCTACAAAAACTATGCATGTATTGTTAGATTACTTCAACAATTTTAAAATGTCCAGACACAATGTAAGACCTTAATATCAATCGGGACAAATTTTTACAGTTATCACTCGATGAAATAGAAGGGTTAAATTGTACCATAATTGTTTAACTTACCTTAAAAAGATTTTTTCAAGCTCAATTGGACTTCCCTGTGTAAACAAATAAATATACAGATATAGCACTTATCACCCCCAATGTCCTTTAAGCCCCTGTCACACCTTGACAGATTAACCAGCATATTCCTCCCATACGAATTCTGGCAAAATCACTGGCATACATTGGATTAGTTATGGGTCAGTTTTGTATAAGTTATGAGCACATTCCACGCTGACACGTATCTCAGTGTATGCCATACTTGGGCCATAAGTTACAGGTAAGTTATCTGATCATTGACATACGTAAAGGGTAAGTTACTAAAGTTGTGGTGTCTAGCTGATCCAAAACCTATGAGTAAATTGTGCATATCAAGAACTTATCTCCAACTCATTTGGTGTGTTCCAAACGACCACTGAATGCGTTTTTAAATTACAGCTACCACATAATGGCGAATTGGTAGCGTTTTGGTATAATAGGGCGTTCTCCAGACTTCATCCCTATCATAGGTAGGGGTGTGGGGAAAAAAATAGATTTGGCGATATATCGTGATTTTAGCCGTCCGATATAATATCGAATAAAAAAAACAAAAAAAAAAAACATTTTACCTAAAACAGTGAGGGAAAATGGGCTACCTCTGCACCGCCACTCTGGCAGATAGCGCTGTGGAGCCCTTTTGCTTTGAAGCGCAGCACCATAACTGTGGTTGAGGCAGTCACAGGGGAAGACATGGACCGACTCAAACCCCAAACATCATGGGTACCGAAAATAACTAAATGATCAATATCTTCTGATGAACATAGACAGCACTTTTTTTTATCTATACATTTAATTTGATAATTGGGGAAAATATCGCAATATATATATAGTGATATTGCCATATCATGACAATATTGTTCGTTGACTTGATAAGTCAACGAACATGACAATACTCGCCCCTAATCATAGGGTGAGCGATAAGGTGAGTGTTATGAATTCTCCCTGCGTTCACGGTCACTACCAACAAACTTCCTAGCAGACATGACGTTGAATCTGCTGCAACTGTAAACCCTCTCTGGGCGCATTGCTGCCCCCTTCAGGACACTGGCTTGTGACATTTCATGGGCATTACGCTGCTGTGCGTTATGCATAAGTTAGGCTGTCGTTGGACATAAGCTCTGCACTCGTACTGAACACTCTATTTATACACCCAAAATAGAAAAAAAAAATACATAGAAAGTTCAGCTCATGCCAGCATTTTAGAAGATTCTGGGACATGTGACAGAGGCTTTACAAAAAGCAACTACCTTGATATCAAAGCCAGCTTTAAATAAGATTAATGAGCATCTTGTGTTAACAGTTCTGTTAAATTCTGCCAGAAGGATATAAAAAAAATTATACAAATGAATGAACTAACTATCTTACCAGATACTTGTTGGACACAGGAGGGGCCCACTCATAGGTGACTGATTTCATTGGGGCCTGCTGAGGAACTGGAACCACGCTGGCTGCTGTAGCATTAGCAGTGGCCGGTACTTTGGTAGCCTTAACTGGACTGACGACAACATGTTTGGGCTGTACTTGTGGCTTCCACTGAGCTGGTGATGGAGAGCCAGTAGGTGCGGTTCCTGCAGGCGTGACACCAGGCTGTGCGGCTCCCGCCAGAGTGGCAGGAGGTACGATGGTAGAGGAAGCAGTAGGGGGCACAGTGTGAGCGGTGGTAGGGCTTGGCAGAGTGATGGTGACCATGTTGCCCTGGTACCTGGGGATGCCATCAGTCTTTAGTTTGGCTATGAGGCCCGTGTACTTGGTGTCTTCAAACAGCTTGCCAACCTTCTTGTTTTCCTCTGAATTCATCGACACATCATGCTCAGGAAGGCCACACTTACAGTTCCGACAAATCTTCCTGCACAAGAATAATAAGAAAACCTGTTCAGTGACTTAAAAGAGAAATATCACTCCACAGGCCTGCGGGAGGGCTTCCTAGTCTGGAAAAATTGTTTACTGCTGTATAAGAGGACCTTTCTAAAGCAAGAGCAGCATACTTCTCCTCATTAATAGAGGAGAATAAGAATAATCCTAGATTTCTTTTTAATACAGTTGCCAAAATCACCCAGAGTCATAGCTCTGTTGAACCGTCCATTCCACCTGGTCTTAGCAGCAATGATTTTATGGGATTCTTTATAAATAAGATTGATCTTATTAAAAATAAGATCATAAGCACTTCTCTATCCGCGATTGTATCTGAGGTAGTCATGGAATCTGAACCGGGTTTAGACTGCTTTGTTCAAGTTAAACTTTCTGAGTTAGCAAAATTATTGTCTTCATCTAAGCCTTCAACTTGTATGTTAGATCCAGTTCCAACCAGGTTATTTAAGGAGGTATTCCCTTTGATCTCCTCCTCCATTTTAGATGTGCTTAATCTATTTCTGTTACAGGGATATGTACCTAAGGCTTTTAAGGTTGCTGTAATTAAACCTCTGCTTAAGAAACCGTCTCTTGACCCAGACCCAACAAGTTTGCAATCACTTACACCATAATGAACTTTTTGAAGAGTTTCAGTCTGGCTTTAGAGCTCATCATAGCACTGAAAAAGCTCTGGTGAAAGTCACTAATGATATTCTCATGGCCTCAGATAATGGACTTGTATCTGTACTTGTCCTGTTCGGATCTCGGTGCTGCATTTGATACAGTTGACCATAATATTCTATTAGAAAGACTTGAATATTTTGTTGGAATTAAAGGAACAGCACTAGACTGGTTTAAATCTTATCTATCTGATCGAATTCACTTTGTTCATGTTAATGACAGATCTTCATCTGGTTATCTGTGGAGTATGACAGGGATCAGTGCTAGGATCAATTTTCTTTACTTTATACATGCTGCCAATCGGTAGAATTATTAGACAGCATGGGATTAATTTTCACTGTTATGCTGATGATACCCAGCTATATCTGGCTATAAATCCAGATGAAGCTAACCCATTATATAAATTACAGGCATGTCTTGAAGACATAAAAACCTGGATGACTCTTAACTTTCTCCTTCTGAATGCAGACAAAACAGAAGTTATAGTCTTTGGACCAGAGTCTCTGAAAAAGAAGCTGATTATTCAGTCACTTCATTTGGATGGGATTAAACTGATTTCAGATGATAAAGTAAAAAATCTTGGTGTTGTTTTTGATCAGGACCTGTCATTTAAATCCCATATCAAAGAGGTTTCTAGAATTTCCTTCTTTCATCTGAGGAATATTGCAAAAATTTGAAATATCCTGTCCAAGCGTGATGCTGAGAAACTAGTCCATGCATTAGTTACTTCAAGGCTGGTCTATTGTAATTCTTTACTATCAGGAAGTCCACCAGCTGTAGTTAAAAGCCTTCAGCTGATCCAAAATGCTGCAGCCAGAGTTCTGATGAAAATTAAAAAGAGAGATCACATCTCTCCTATCCTGGCTTCTCTTCATTGGCTTCCTGTTAAATCAAGAATAGAATTTAAAATCCTCCTTCTCACATATAAAGCCTTAAATGGCCAAGCTCCATCTTATATCAGAGATCTGATTGTTCCTTATGTTCCTAACAGAGCACTTCGCTCTCAATCTGCAGGTTTACTAGTGGTTCCTAGAATTTCTAAAAGTAGAATGGGAGGCAGGTCTTTTAGTTATCAGGCTCCTCTCCTGTGGAACCAACTACCAGTTTTAGTCCGTGAGGCAGACACCCTGTCTACTTTTAAGGCTAGGCTTAAAACGTTCCTTTTTGATAAAGCTTATAGTTAGGGTGGCTCAGGTTATCCTGAGCTATCTCTATAGTTATGCTGCTATAGGTTTGGACTTCTGGAGGACATAGGGACCCCCATTTCATCATGCTGCTTCATTCTCTCTCTATTCTCCTATTCTGCAGAATCTGTTAGTTCAATCTCTAACGTTCTGCTCTCTCTGCTTTTTCTCATAGTAGCTTTGCCTCGTCTCTTCCTGTTTGGCTGTGACGCCATCCTGGAGAGAAACATCAGCTGTGCTGCTTCCATCACCCTTGTTTATAGATGCTGGAGATCAGCCTGTTTTCCAGTGTAGTCTTGTTTCTCTGACCGTGACTGAGTGGATGTGCTCTCTTCGTCCTCTGGCATGGGAGCTGGCTCGGAGCTCGTCTGCCTGGCTGTGTGTTTCCTGGATGGGGCCGCCTTTTGCAGCTGCTTTTTGTATCTCTGCTTCTGTCTCCTTGAACCCCAGTCGGTCTCAGCAGATGGCCGCTCACACTAAGCCTGGTTCTGCTGGAGGTTTCTTCCTGTTAAAAGGGAGTTTTTCCCTCCACTGTCGCTACAAGTAAGCTTAGTGTGATGGATTGTATTTGAGTCAATGAGTCGATGCAATCAACTGGTTTTGCTTAGATAGAAAACTTTGAATCAATTTGATTGTATGATCTGGTTGAACTGTAAAGTGCCTTGAGATGATATGTGTTGTGAATTTGGCGCTATATAAATAAACTGAATTGAAAATTGAATTGAATTAAAATGAAAACATTTATCAGTGGAGTCAGAGTAGACGAGCATATGTCCTCAGCAGTGATGGGTCCAGCAACCCCAATGTGCTGGCGCATGTGTCGAGGTCCAAAAGCAAAACCCTGTTGTCAGTGTGCGTATCGTTTCAAGAAGGTCACGTGACTAAAACAGGAGCCGTTTCGAACTGACTGACGCACTAAACTGTGTATATAAATGCATCTGTAAATGCAACACATCTTCCAAAAAAATCTCTCATCTTTTGCAGTTGATAATCAAATTAATCTAGAAATATGGAGCAGGCTCAAGTCAAAGGGTTTCAGCCAAGTGGGACCATTTTGATCACATACTTGTTTCAATTTTCTTGTTTTGTCATCCTTTTCCCCTCAGTTATCACTCAACTTATAACTTATTTAAATTGATTTTAAATTGGCATAGTTTGCCGTTCTTACTGTAGTTATTATTTTAAATAAATAAATAAATCCCAGTCCACAAACTAGGATTTATTTATATATAAACTATCCTTATGCAAATGTTTAATTAAGTTTTCCAGTTGTATGTTCACATTTATGGATTATATCCAGAATATCAAACATATTTTCAATTTAAAAAAAGATATGAAACAATACATTATAGCAAACAATGGCTTAAATGATATTATAGGTCAATAAATCGGTGTCAGTTTAGCCTGTCAATGAGGCTGCCTGTAGTGATTTCAAATGTCCAGCAGATGTCAGTAATCAGTCACAGTATCAATAGTTTGCCAAAGTGTTGAAATGTACATTACTAGTCCTCAGTGATCAATGTATAACTCGCTTCTATTCTCCGAGTTACCTTATAGTTTTTTAGAAGCACATTTCTGTTAAACTTTTGTGTAAAATAAAGTAATATTTTAATCAGATCACAGCCTCTTAAACAAGCCTCAACAGAAACAGCCACATGCTTGCAGCAAACATGGGCAGCATTTATGACTCGGCATGCTAGAGCTTGAACATACCATACTTTACTTGTGAAGAGAAATGCTTTTACTGAACTGTGATATTCAGTTTGAGTAGGAAAGCCCCCTTCCAAAAAACTAAAAAAAAATACAAAGGCAAACTAATTTACAAGAAAAAAGCAGCTCTATTCAAAGAAGAGTTTGCATAAAGCAATATTTTTTCCTGACAAAATAAGATCCAAGATCTGGTCAGAGGTGCAACAGTTTTACGAGCTGTACATCCCCCCCCCCCCCATATGAGTACGACCGGTTTTAACAGCCTCCACAGTCAGAATCGCCAGATGAAAATCTGGAGGGCAGGTTTTCATCCTCTTTGTTTAGCTGGTCTTTAGCATCAAGGAAAACACAGTTTCCATCTGTTTACATCAAAGCCATCACTTTTGCTAAAACTAAACCAAGAGGACATACATTTCTGAGGAAGGGGTCTGATCTCCAGAGCAACGGGCCGTAATCAGGCTGAGAACTCCTGCTGCTTCCAGAGCATTTTAATCAAACCAAGAAGGAATGACATCAGACTGGTTCAATAAATAAAGCCCTTTGTTTCCCTTTCATCATCTTTAATGAGATGCCTTGTTTCTGAAGCAAACTGTCATTATATGCATCCATGGCCCTAATGTTCAGTATTTTTTTTTTCTCATCAATGGCACACCCAATGAGAGCTTTTAAATCAAAGAACCCCCAAATTATACTACCACTCAGTGAACCAACCATAAACAGAAATTAACGGTTTCTGTGTGGAAGTTAAATCTTCCTTTCTTATCAAAAACTCTTCAGAACATAGCAGCTAAACAAGTTTATGGCCATGTACACCACAATGAACGATTTGAAGAGTGTCAATATGTTTTTTAAGCTGATCATAGCACTGAAACAGCTCTGGTGATAGTCACCAACGATATTCACATGGCCTCAGATAATGGACTTGTATCTGCACCTGTCTTGTTAAATCTCAGTGCTATTGTACTATTGTAATTCTTTACTGTCAGGAAGTCCACAAACAGTAGATAAAAGCATACAGCCGATCCAAAATGCTGCAGCCAGAGTTCTGATGAAAATTAAAAAGTAAGATCATATCTCTATCCTAGCTTCTCTCGACTTGCTTCCTTTTAAATTCAGAACAGAAATTAAAAATTGTCCTCCTCATATAAAAAACCCTAAATAACCGAGCCCCATCTTATGTCAGGGATCTGATTGTTCCTTATGTTCCTAAAAGAGAACTTCAATTTGGAAGTGCAAGTTTAGTTGTGGTTGCCAGAATTTCTAATAGTAGAATGGGAGGCAGATCTTTTGGTCATCAGGCTCATCTTATGTGAAAGCAACTACCAGTTTTAATCCATGAGGCAGACAACCTGTCTATTTTTAAGGCAAGGCTTGAAACTTCCCTTTTTGATAAAGCTTATGGTTAAAAAAAATATTAGTCACTGAGTGAAAGGCTATATCCGGTGGGGGAGACAGATGTTTGTTTGTTAACTCCAACCATAACTTTGTTTTTTTTCTGTCCATCCCCATTTTTGTAGCTTTATCTGGTCTGTTCCATTATGGCTGTGTGTCCATCCTGGAGAGAAATATCAGCTTTGCTGCCTTTGCTGCCTAGGCCTTCTTTGGAAAATAGACCGATGGGCTTATGTTAAAACAACTGATGCTGTTTTAACTTATTTTCCCATAAAGCACTTTGGTCAGCCCCAGTTGTTTTAAAATGTGTGCTTTAAATAACGTCTGAGTTGAATGAAAACAACAGGGTTAATAGTCAAAAATTGCATTACAATATTAAGTAATAACAGGCAGTTGTGTTCGCAATTTTGTGCTAACCAAACAAAAGATTGATGTTTACTGTTACTAATGGAGACAAAATGGATCACTGATAAGACGCTGAAGCCTGTTTAAAGTCTTAAATCTATTAAAGTCTCTAGTTAAAAAAAAACTTTTAGAATACTGTTCCTGGCATCTGGTTTTTAAATAGAAACTGGAAATCAGCCAAGTTCCCATCAGCAAATCAGAGCTTTACAAGAACCAGGGATTAGGGATTGCCCCCTCTTCATACACACAGGCTTAAAGACAAAGCAAGACATTTAACTCAACTAGCTTTTCTTGCTCACAATCATTTATCAGTAGAATTGGACTAAAAACAGAGTGTGCAAACCTCCAGAAGTGCAGCTCAAATCCCTCGCATTTATCCTTGCATTTTAAACAAGCTGCTCCAGCACCAAACTCGTGACCCAGAGTCACCTGTAAAAGAAAGAAAAAAACAACATGAGGAACAGCAATTTCTTTGGATTGCCTTATAGGAGGACACATGTGGGTAGACTACCCAAAAATTGCACTCAAGAGTAGCTCTACTTCAACATTATTTTACTCAAGTGTAAAAAAGTCTTTGGCAAAAAGGTTACTCAAGTACTTAGTAGTTGTTGGACCTTTGATTTAATGTTGACAAATGGTGCAGACAGAAAGACTTTGTGCAAGGTCTGGTATTTTAAAAAAGACTCGAATGCATAAAGAAAATAAGTAAATGTCATGAATATAAAATAAAAAAATCCATGCAGAAGAAATACTTTAACCAATTTTTTTTCAATGTATAACTTTGGAAACAGGACAGGGTAACAAAGTCCCACTGTTAATATCTAGTGCTTATTGTATGTTCATCTGATCTTGGTATATTTAGAGTCACAGAGGACAGCATAGACTGACATTATACTCAAGTAGGAGTAGGGATATTTTACAAGAATATTACTTTACAAGTAATCACTACAGCACAGTAAAACAGCTCCTAAAATTAAAGTATTCTTGAAAAATTGAAGCAGAAAATGAACAGTGCTGCCTACAGGTCAACCGGAACGTTTTTTTAAAGGTCCATACTGATACAGATCATATTGACATTAGTCTAACCCAGGGGTATGCTTCCTTTCTAATTACAAAGTGCCATTTTACTCTGAGCTCGCCAAGTGAAAGTTGTTAAGAGCCACAAATATCGCAATAGGAAATCTGTTTCCATTTTAAACAATGGTTCATTTTGTTTTTAGTCTTTGATATTAGGACAAAACATGACAGTTTCATAAAGAATAAGCATTGATTTTGTCGTTTAAGATATTATTTTATTTAAAGAATAAACTGATGGGTTCCAAATTAATGACAAGAATTATAGATCTAGAAAAATATTACTGTTTCTTTAATGTCATTCTGTAATGGCATTTAAGTTTTCTTTTATAAAAACTGTTTAAGCCTCTAAGAATGTTATTTGTTAATATACTATATTCAAAACTATTATCTGGCTATTTATAATTATAGCCACTATTAAGAGCCATTTTAGAGAGCCCAAAGAGCCATTTGCGGCTCCAGAGCCGTATGTTTCAGACCCCTGGTCTAACAGATCCAAGGCATTTGCTGCTTGGTTTTTGAGATCAATCTTTAGGTTGATTTAGCCATTTGCGTTCTTCACTCACATGCTAAAAATTACACAATAAATATTTTGCTAATCTCAACTTAAGCAAAGCATTTATAAAAAAAACAGCTGGCAAACGGAGGAAGCTCCAATTAATGTTCAACTAGTCGCGGATCCCTTTAAATCCTACATCGAATATTTAGTCATCAGTCTAACTGATCCCCGATAAATTCTGTCATAATATGATAAAAAGACACCGATAAATACTTTTTAATCAGAACAAAAAAGACCATTTTATAACAACTCAGTGTAAATATTAACAGATAGCAGATGGAGGGAGCAGAAATGCATGTACTTCGTGTGATCAAAAAGGCATGGCTGTCACGTCCACCTTACTCCATCACCAAATATGGTCAACTACTTACGCCCCTGCAGTCAAAAGACACGGTTTGACCCCAAAGGAGACTCGCTGGTGAGGAATGCAGACAAAGACTCAACGGATTCTTCCTCATGGGAATTGTGAAACAAATCCCTAGATCCTAAGAGAGACTGAGCATCACTCAAGCTTTCCTAAACTGAAAATGTAACAAAAAAAACTTGGTAGAATCCAAAGAGGGGCAAACTAACAGGTTTAAGCATGTGGTGGTCTAAATATTTATCTAAAGATGGTAAAAGAAAGAGTCTCTGTTAGAAGGGTGTGTACATGAGTGATTCCACAGAAGGGTTAGCTCACCGGGTGATTCACTCCACAAATAATTTACTGCAATCATGACCAAGTTTATAACATAGCTGAGTGTTGGTCCATATAATTTAGTGGATGAAGGATTATCTGCAGATGGTTCACCACTTTGCCATACACACTAACATATACAGGAAAATGGGTTAGGTTAAAGAAAAACCATTGCCATCTTCATGAACTTTGTAAGAAAAAAAACAGAAAGAATAAAATAAAATGTCAGTATTTGACACAATTGGCACAATACATAGCATATATGTAAAAAATAATAGCTACTCAGGTTAATGGAAAGATCCTCTCGATACAAGAGAAAACTGAGGTTTTTCAGAAAATGTCTTATCAATTAATTTTTAGTAAATCGAAAGGATCAGTTGAATTTAATTCAGTTTATTTATATAGCGCCAATTAACGACAGATGTCATCTCAAAGAACTTTACAGAGATAATACAGTCCGACTGGTTAGGAAAACCAGTTTATTGCATCCAGTTATTGACTTGCAAGACATGCTCCTCCTGGATTATTTTGCCTTTGGATTTTCAGCAATCCCTCACACAGAGCATGTATAGAGCAACAGTGGAGAGGAAAACTCCCTTTTAACAGGAAGAAACCTCCAGCAGAACCAGGCACAGTGTGAGCGGCCATCTGCCGAGGCTGACTGGGGTTTCAAGGAGACAGAAGCAGAGATACAGAAAGAAGCTGAGATACAAAAAGCAACTGTTAACCAGCTTCACAGGAGAGCCAGGCAGCGAGCTCCAAGCCAATTCTGCTAATCACAGTAAAACAAACAGGACTACACAGGAAAGAGGTGTTGGAGATTTAATGTCAAACGAAGCAAGTCAGGGTGACCTAAAAATGGACACCATACTAAAGAAAGAAATATCAGCTAGCCTGCTGCCATCAACACCCTAATTAATAGATGACAGAGTTGGTTACATTTTTCAGTGCTTAGTCCTGTTTTCCCTCCTAAACGTAGCAATGGGCTCAGCTTTTACTGTGACCAACTGTATGTGCTCTCTTTCATCACTCTTGGCATGAAGGCTTGGAAAGAAACAGTTGAGCAGAAATGTTCAACTTTTGACAATGTCTGCATGGCAATAAAAACCAGTGAGGGTTTCACTAACTGGCTTTTGTAAGTTTGTTACATTAGCAGTATGAATCGATTTTCAACATGGAGGTAAACATTTTAGCTTTGCCCACTTTCCTCTAACCAACTAATTCATTCAATTTCCAGAAAAGTCTTCTGAAAATCCATCTTTGCCGCCTTGTTCATCACGGACTGCTTTGTAAATGTCAATATCCCTTCTGTTTATAATCAATTTTTTTTTTCTTTAGAGACAAACTACCCTTAATTATCACATCCACATGGTCTAAAGTTATATAACTCGAGTCAACATTTTTTTTAGCTTCTAATAGAAACTGCCAAGATGGGCCAAACCTAATTTAAAGATGATAGACAGGGTAAGGTCCCCACATGGTTTTGCCAACGACCACAATGGTGACAGTGTGACAAATTAAAGTCAACTTCAGGAATGCAGTGGAAAATATTTTCTAATATATCAGCTATCTGGTTAATTTAAATCACATTGATCTTTAAAGATTAAAAAAAAGAGAGATGCTTCATCTTCTCTTCATCTTTCTTTCTTTCCACTTTGTGACAAAACAGAAGGTTTCCCTCTATCAAATCTGTCTTTGGTCACCAGATCTGCCTTTCTGGATCCCTTCTCTCCCTGTTTGATGCCGTTTCATCTGTTGGGACATATGCCACTATATTCAACCACATGTTATGTGCTTACTTGATCAAGCTTGTAAGCATTGCATTTGTGTGGGTGTGTATGGGACAGATGAAAGTCGCAAAGCCTATGTTAAAATCATACCCTGTGAGAAACTGAGGAAAAACTAGAAACCCTTGCAACCATCCCTGCTCCCAGCTACTTTTCCAATTGTTGTGCATTTATACATTTGCAGCGTGTTTGCACCTTTCTGCCAGGGTTGGTTAACATCAATAGACTATAAATGTGTACATAAAAAAATAAAAATAAAATTTCTTCTAACATAAAACATAAAACAAGTCCCTGGAGTTTGTTGCGGATCTCTGTTTTTTCTAACGTGGGAGGAAAGTTCAAAGGTTTCTATACAAACCTTCCTAATTTGAACTGGTTTTAAGTAACCTAAAATATTCTGATTTACATTCACACGGAAACAAGAAAAGTATTTAAGTAATTGAATGTTTTCAATTCATTTATTTCTTTATATTGTAAACGCGCCATGCGTCACGCAGTTCCTTAAAGTGGAACTGGACCAGGAAGGGAAGTCACCGCTGCACTTATCAACTTAAAAACCTCATTCAAAATTACAAATTGAAAACTAACTTTTCTTAGTTGAAATGGTTGAATTTAAACTTGTTTCGGATCCACATATTGATTCAAAAACGCCTCCCACCATTGACTTCACTATGAGGAGTTTGTTTATGGCCACCTGCTTTGCGCACCTTTTCAGGGCGTTCCCAGCTGCTCTCTACGCCAGAGAAGACCCCACTATCGGGACTACTCACCTTCTTCATTTCCCTCTCTATCTCCATCTTCCAGCCTTTGCGTTGAAGCGGTTCCTCCAGAAATGGTCCGTAGGAAAGAAACAGAAACAAACCAGGACAGAGAGATAAACCCCACTCACTGCCCTCCTGCTCGCTCTGAGCCACACGCGCCTGTCAAAGCGGCCCAACTATCAACGCTACTTCCTACCAAATATTACAAAATAAATCAACAGTTTCCATTAATTAAAATGTACCTAAATTGTGTTTGAGGTTGTTGAATGTAACGATAAATTCTCTTTCTCCATATATATAATATAGAAAAACATGCAAAACAAAAACTTCCGCACAAATTTGTGTTCATTTTATTACCTTATTTAAAATATATTATTAATAATTACATACAAAAATAGGTGTAAGGTTTGTTTTTTGTTAGAATCGTTTTTTCTCTATTTTCTATTTTTTTATTTATCTATTTAGTTTTTTTAAATTATGTATATTATTCAATCCTTAAAGAGTTTAAACATGCGCACCATAGTAACTGTGATTTTTACCATTCTTTTTGTATTTTCTTTACAGCAAAAGGAATTTTTTAGCACTTCCGGTTAAGTTTTTTTTTTACACTTCAAGGTCTCTTTCCCGCAGGGTGGCGTTCACTTTTCTTCCTGCGTTTGTGAGAGGCGCAATATGGCAGGCCATATTGATATTTATTAGCTTGACTGAATGTATATTCCAGATGTCTAAAATGCATTTCTTCCGGTCAAAATAAACATTTCCGATATCTAAAATAACATTCTTCCTATCTAAAATAAACATTCTTTCTATCTAAAATGAATTGTGACTAGGATGAACCCGAATTTCAGATCTCCATAAAAGAGTTACTGCTGGTCATAATTACTATTTCGGATGTCAAAAATGAATATAACATTACAGATATCTAGAAATACAATTGGCAGGCCATTTTGACATGAATTAGCTTGACTGAATATGTATTTAAGATGTCTCAAATGCATTTCTTCCTAGTCAAAATGAGCATTTCAGATATCTAAAATAACATTCTTCCTATGTAAAATATGCATTTCAAGTAGCTGAAATGTAATTCTTACTAGTACAAATGACGTCACATTTCCCTTTCATGTGTATTGGGCTTTTACTTCCAGATATCTAAAATAACATTCTTCCTATCTAAAATAACATTCTTCCTATCTAAAATAAACTTTCTTCCTATCTAAAATGAATTCTGACTAGGATAAATTCTAATTTTAGATCTCCATAATAGAGTTAGGTCTAGCCAAAAATGACTAACTTAAAATTTGTAAAGATTTCTAGGTATTTGAAAATTTGTTCTTATGTACAATTATATTTTTTGCAGCCTGAAATGTAATTTTGGCTAGCAAAAAATGTATTTTAGGATATCTATATGTACATTTCTGACTAATAGGAATGTAGTTTTGATTAGGAAGAATCTTATTTTAGATATCAACAAACTGAACAATAGAGGACAGCGCTTCTAATAAATGTCAAAACGGCCTGCCATACTTCCGCTTTACCCCTGGAACAAAGAAAACGGCCCGTTAAAGGAATAGTACACCCAAAACATGATTAGCCTTCATTTTCTACTCACCCCCATGCTGAACAACACTCTGGAGTACTTTTTTGATATCTCAAATGCATCTGGAGATCTGGGAGGCTTCTTGCTGTCTGCTGACATTCACACTGGAGAAGGTCCATAAAAGTCCACAAAAACGTGTCAATATTCCTCCATACTGCTCGTCCAATGTATTCCAAGTGTCCTGAGTGGGTAGCATCCAGAATTTACTCGAAACGAAGTCATTTAGAATGTTTTTAGAGCATAAACAGTAGTTTATAGGATTTCCTGAAAGCGCGCGCCAGCGCATTCAGGACGCTACGGAAGCCGGCAGACCAAACCAGATGAAAGTGCGCATTCAGCGTCTGCTCTGCTGATAATGCAAGCGTAGAAGAAGAAATGTGCTGTTTACCTGTGCAAACAAAGAAACAACGAAAGAAAAATGTCTGAGGACTTCAGTGTTGAGGAAGAGCAGGAGTTCTTTGCCGAGCTGAATGCACACTTTCGTCTGGTTTGGTCTGCCGCGGTTTCCGTAGACTCGTGAACGCGCTTTTAGGAAATACTATACACTACTGTTTATGCTCTAAAAACATTCTAAATGACTTTGTTTCGAGTAAATTCTGGACCTTTCTGTCTCGGGCACAATAGACCTCCATTATTTGAATGTCAGCAGACAGCAAGAAGCCTCCCAGATCTCCAGATGCATTTGAGATATCAAAAAAGTACTCCAGAGTGTTGTTCAGCATGGGGGTGAGTAGAAAATGAAGCCTAATCATGTTTTGGGTGTACTATTCCTTTAAAGCTGCAGTCTGTAACATTGAGGAGGGAGCAGACTTCGACTGAAAATTTGAAGAAAAACAGGTTTCACTCCACTCCCTCACCCTCTCTGCTTCACTCATGCCCCACCTCCAAGCTCCACCCCTCTCACAGCATCTGCACGGCTACCGCATGCGACCAGAAGGGGGGGGCGGGATTCAGCGCGTGTGAGCTGTGATTGACACTCCATCAGACGCTCCTCTGGCTGTGATTGGTTGTTTTGACTCGTCCCGAATTATTCTTTCCAGATTGAAATACAGGCAGTAGGCGGTACCAATTGAAGCAGTTTTTTTCACAGGTTACATATCACATGTACTGCTGTCTGGGCATAGGGACAGTTTTAGCCAATATGACAAAAAAGTGATTTTTAAAAACTTACAGACTTCAGCCAAACAGTGAGCTGAAGGGCGCGGTCTCAGCAGGACAAAGAGGTTAGGTGGACTTCTGATGTGTTATAAACTATGCATCTTGATGCTTCAGAGGTTTCCAAATAACAAATAAATGTGTCAACGATTGTTTAATTGTTTTGCAGAGGTGACAGTAAAAAAAACAAACAAAAAAAACAAAAAAATCTGTTCAATGAATTCTTCTTCTTTTTTTGTGCCACAGTAAAGTTTTCCATACACTGCACTCCACAGCTGGTGTTTTTGTGATGTGGATGTTTGTGAGTTGATGGTAATAATTCTGGGGAAACAGCTGCTGGGTTGCCTCGGTGACAGGAATCATGGTGGTAGCAGTTTCCTCTGCTAGAGGAAATGATACCGTCACACCCTGAAAGGTCACACAAAGTTTATCAGTTATGGAAAGCATGTTTAAAGCTGAAATACTTTTCAAAGTATAAAGGAATGTATTGCTGAAGTGGAACGAGGAGGGCAAACAATTTTTTAATAAGTACAATCAAATTGTCTCCCTTTTTACTCTGCTATCCCTGAATACAGCCCACTGCAACTAATTAACTCCAGAATTGTTCTGTGAAGGTAGTGAAGATTTTAAACAGAATCATTGGAGACAGGCAGTGGTAGAGTCAGAAAATATTTGTAGTGGTGGCCAGACACAGACATGTTCAGTATTTTTTAGATGTGCAAGATAAAGATTTTATCTTTAATGACAAGTAAAGCATAATTTCGTTTTTCGTGGGATTGGTGACATATTTCCACCCAAGGGAGCAAAAATGTTTACCCATTGTCTGTGTTCAAATATATGGGCTGCATCCTCCGAAGGCCAGATTCGAAGGCTGATTATGTCATAGCTTGCCGCAGAGGTGTGGTCGGATTCCAAGATTCCTCGTTATGCGGCCTACAAATCCGTCCTTCTTTTGCTCAATTTTAAGGATCGGTCCGGTGTATCCTATCTATCCTTGGTTATCCCAGGATACATTGCGAGACCACGTAAGCCAGCTGCTCCGTGCTCAGAGGAAAAAGGCACTTGGCGCCAAATAGTGGTGAATATTGGAAGTTCAGTTTAATATAATACAAGTATGTGAATAGCTCCTTCTGAAAATTTATGGAAAATAGCTGTTTTAATGGTTATTGAGTCAGATATGTGGCGGTAATGTTTGATTTATCTAAAAGGTTTTTATCTGTTACTGTGTAAATGAGTTGGCTGTAATTTAAGGACAGATTCTAATATATCTACACTGTGGGGACTGTAAATCTGATGATTTTTATTTTCTAATTGCTATTTTGCACAATTGGCTTAACTAAGTATTTTTTGTTATTGAATATAAGAGATTTTGCAGATATATTTTTATTCATACATTGTTAAGATTTACTTATATCTTTCTACCCTTTTCATAGAATAGAATAGAAAAGAATAGAATAGAATAGAATAGAATAGAATAGAATAGAATAGAATAGAATAGAATAAAATAGAATAGAATAGAATAGAATAGAATAAAATAAAATAGAAAATTCCTTTATTGTCCCACAATGGGGAAGTTCTGGCATTTATAGCAGCAAAAAGATTATAGAAAAAAGGTATAAAAATAACATAATAGTGAAGAGTTAAAAGATAAACAATAAAATGCTGTACTGTAAAGTCTTTTAACAATAAAAAAAAACTGTGCACCTGGAGAATAAATAACCAATATACAGCCGAGGACATTTTACAGTTATGGATTTGTAAAAATAGCAGCAACATCTTATTTATTCATGGCCTAACAACATAGAAGATTTTATGACAGAGTTTAATCACACTCACTGTTTCTTCCTCTGCACCCCTCTGTCTTCTTTTTATGTGTCTATATTTTTTAATATCCCCCCATATGTCCCCCCCATATTGGACATATCCAATGGATAATTAACAGAAATGTAAACTGATCTGGTAATTCAGGTTTTTGTGACCACACTAGGTATTCATTCCTAAAATGCCTTCCTCTATAGCACATCATGCCTCACCCAAATCTTGCATTCTTCTCTGTTTGTTCACAAAGTCAACCATCCATCTATCCATCCATCCATCCATCCCTCTTATCCCAAGCAGGGCTTTGAGGGGTGCTGGTGCCTTTCTCCAGCTGTCTATGGGCGACAGGCGGGGTCCACCCTGGACAGGTCGCCAGTCCATCGCAGGGCAACACAGAGAGTTTTAGGAGAAAAGTCCCATTCATATTTTTTCTTCTATTTGTAATCTTCTCTCAGGTAAAAAAAACTTTATGCGTCTTGCACAACCTGTCAGCTGTTATCCAAACCCAGTTTTCAACTAAATGAATACATTTGTTTGATGTAGAAGTAATTGTTAATTTTTTTTTGCTGACATAATTTTAATTTCATATTATGCAACTCTGC